CCGCCACACGCACTGGCGTGCCGTGAATTTATATATTCCCCCCCCCCCCCATTACAGAAAGAGGAACAATCCCTCAGGTAAAACTTCTTTCCCAACCTACTGACAGGAATACCGACGAACGCCAACAGCATCATTTGGCAATTGGTATTATCACTCATTCATTATTCATAGGATGACTCGACGCCGCGGTACCAATCACCACACCGATCAGTAACAATACCAACTTCGTATTCATACCACTTACACGAACGCACGCTCCTGCCATCATTCTGGGCCAATAAGATGCACCATACTCTGTTTTTCAAAAAAATACCTCTGATTATTCTTATTAGCACTGTTCTCGTCTTTTTTCTTTCTCTCCTATATTTGTCATATTCTCTCCATGCCGTAACTATTCTTCCAAATACTAACTTCATAAGCGTAGCTGATGACGCACACCTCCTCAGGAGCTGACGAGGTGTTGCCACCTGTGCGCGCCCCCGCCCTATAAAGCGCCAGGATTTAATTCATTGACAAGTCCGCGCGGTGCCCACCGCCTGCGGCACCCTCGCCGCGCGCCCGTCACCGCGGCCCTCACGAGACTTCTCACACATTCGCCGCCTCATGTTTGAATATTATCGTAACTCGATAATTCCCCGTTTATTGTCGCGTCTCTTCCTCCTGAGAAGTTTGTTCGCGAAGTTATACCATGGAAAGGAAAATGCACAACGAAGGCGGGGGAGACGCCATTTTTCAAGCTACTTCCCTATACAACTACCTCCCCCCCTCTCTCTCTCTCTCTCTCTCTCTCTCTCTCTCTCTCTCTCTCTCTCTCTCTCTCTCTCTCTCTCTCTCTCTCTCTATCTCTCTCTCTCTCTCTACCCGTGGGCGGCCCTTCGCTGTGTCAAGGCTCGTCCTCGAGGGATCGCCAGGGCGCGGAGGGATCGGGTTACCGGCTGTGAGAGCCGCCGCTCACGCCGCCGGTATGCCATTCAGGGGGGATGCCGGGGTTTCCTTCGGGCTCCACCAGTCTCTCTCTCTCTCTCTCTCTCTCTCTCTCTCTCTCTCTCTCTCTCTCTCTCTCTCTCTCTCTCTCTCTCTCTCTCTCTCTTTCTTTCTCTCTCTCTCTCCCTCCCTTCCTTTCTCTCACTCTCTCTCCCTTTCTCTCTCTTTCTCTCGCTCTCTCTCTCTCTCTCCCTCTCTCTCTCTCTCTCTCTCTCTCTCTCTCTCTCTCTCTCTCTCTCTCTCTCTCTCTCTCTCTCTCTCTCTCTCTCTCTCTCTCTCTCTCTCTCTCTCTCTTTCTCAACATATTCATGTATATCTTCATCTTCCCCCCCTTCCCCAACCCTATCCAAATCCTTATGCTGTTCCTTTGAAAAAAGGAAGATCGATGAGAATAAAAGGGAGGATGGGGAAAACACAACTGGAAGCTACAGCCGACCAGCAAGATCAGAGTCAGGTCAGGGCGTATCAGTTCCGTGACCTTGCGACCGTTGGGGCCCTTGGGCGTCGTCGCCTCTTCCCGAAACAGAAGTGAGAAGAGGCGAGCTTGAAAGTGGCGCCTTTCAAGTCTAGCCGCTTCTCCCTTCCGTCCCTCGCCGTCCACACTCAACATCGGAAGTGCAGACGGAGATGGATGGTCGTTCGCCTTGGCTAACGAGCCGGCAGCTACGACTAACTTCTTTTGACCCGCCCTCGGGGGCTGCGGCCCTGCCTCCCCCAGGCACTGGGACGGCGTGGCTTCGGAGGGTCTCTACCACTCTGGTCTCTACTGGGGCTCTGCATGGTCTCTAAAGTCAAAGTAATTGCAATGAAGTAGTAGTAGTGGCAGTGATAGAAGTGATAGTGGCAGTAATATTAATAGTAGTAGTAATAGTAGTAGTAGTAATAGTAGTAGTAGTAGTAGTAGTAGTAGTAGTAATAGTAAAAACAATAGTAGTAGTAGTAGTAGTATAGTAGTAGTAGTAGTAGTAGTAATAGTAGTAGTAGTAGTAGTAGCAGTAGTAGTAATAGTAGTAGTAGTAGTAGTAGTAGTAGTAGTAGTAGTAGTAGTAATAGTAGTTGTAGTAGTAATAGTAGTTGTAGTAGTAATAGTAGTTGTAGTAGTAATAGTAGTTGTAGTAGTAATAGCAATAGTAGTAGTAGTAGTAGTAGTAGTAATAGTAGTAGTAGTAGTAATAATAGTAGTTGTAGTAGTAGTAGTAATTGTAAAAACAATAGTAGTAGTAGTAATTGTAAAAACAATAGTAGTAGTAGTAATAGTAGTTGTAGTAGTAGTAGTAGAGTAGTTGTAGTAGTAATAGTAGTTGTAGTAGTAGAGTAGTAGTAGTAGTAGTAGTAGTAGTAACAGTAGTAGTAGCAGCAGCAGCAGCACTAGTAGTAGTAGTAGTAGTAGTAGTAGTAGTAGTAGTAGTAGTAGTAATTGTAAAAACAATAGTAGTAGTAGTAGTAATAGTAATAACAATTGTAAAAGTAGTAGTATTAGTAGTAATAATCTAAAATGATAATAACATCATCATCA